GTTGTTTTGTTATTGAGATAGTATCAGATGATCCATTAAGGGATTGCTCCTTCCTAAAAATTTGTGTTCATCTACTAGCCGGTTTTATGATGCCTTTTTGGGCACGAAGCACACATTGAAGTGCCGGGTGAGATGGATGTGGAGTAATTTCTTTTTGAAAGAATTTGTGCCAATTCTTTTTCCTCTCCAAAAGAAATGGTTTCGGAGCACGGGCTCCTTGCCTAATGTCAATTCCATAAGGCTCCTCTGTTGTGTCTTTTTTTTTTTTTTTCCCTCCTTTGCCCCGCTCCTTCTCCTCTTAACTGGACTTTGCCATGAGGAAGATGTGTACCTATAATCAGGCATTTCTTTAGGTTTATTTGTCATTCCAGACAGCATCGACCAAAGGCACAGGCTTGAGTGGGGGGAAGACAGAGTTATATAAACTTTATTCATAGTTAAATATTTGCTTCCAGGGAAGGTGAAAAATGCTTTGTACTTTTTCCTTTGGCTTTTTTCCTCTAAGAGAGCTTGTCATGCAACAGCACACAAAAGTGGCCAAAGGCAGAGAGAACTCTTCTCTCTTTTCCATGTTGGTTTGTTTTTATTGTAAGACAAACCTTTCATGTTTTATTGTTACGAAGTTTAAATGTGGCCTCGAGGTGCCGATCTTTAGTGGAAACAGCTGCAGAGCCAGTGTCCCCGGATCAGGTGGGACTTTCTTTGAAGCAACATGTTGCCTTTTAAAAGAAATCCAGCATGTGAGAACTTGAGCCTGTAAAACTCATCAGTGGCTCCACCGATGCTAATCTCTCAAATAACCGAGATAGCTAAGTTTAAGCAAAACACTGGCATTGAAGAATCAGTTTCCGCGTGGTTTTTTTTTTCCCCAAAGAGAACAGCCTTGTTATTTTGTGTCTTAAAAATATAGACGTGGAGGAAAAAAAGCACTCTTAAGGATTGAAGATGTAGCAGCCCAGTATTAGACCTTAGCGTGCGCTCCATCTTTTGGGCAGGCTGACCTGTGATCTTGATCTCATACCTGCAGGTGGATGGATGCCCTTGGCCGGGAGCAGGACTGGGTGTTTGGGCACATACCTGAACTTAAGTGTGTAAAGATTCCCTGTTCTATATTGGTTGATGCTGAAACATCTATCATCTCTGTGATGAGCGATGCTAGTAGCAGTGGGTTACCATCATTCTTGGTCTCCTACTTGGAAAAGTTGAGCATCCGAGAACTTTCTTTCCTTGGGGAAAAATAGGAGAGACAGGCATGGAGTCAGGGACAAGAAAAATGCTGGAATATTTTCCTTTTGGGCTTTTGATTTGCTTGCCAAAAAGTTGCCTTCCAGAGGGAGAAGACCAAAAGCTCTGATTGTAAGCCATTATGTTTTTACTGGCCTACCTCCCCATCCCATTGCCCGGCTTGAAATCTGTAAGCCAGTCCAAATCCTTTACCTCATTTTCTAGTACCAATTTACTGTCTTACTCATCTTCCAGCTGCAAGGGGGTGAGGCAAGTTGCTTTGAAATTGAACCCTGTGCCATTTCATAAACCAGGCAACAGCATCTTCTTGCCAAGGAGTATCAGTTGCGATAGCTCCCGTTTCTCCGAAGCTCTTGAGTCTCATCTGCCAGGTAGGCTTGTGTCCGTGACATGTGCGGTAGGATCAGTCTGGGAATGAATCCGGACAAGCCCTTTAGGCCTTGCGTAGACTTGTTACTAGCCTGGTTGCCTAGCGTTCTGGGCTGTTGTGTGGGAAGCACAATTTGTTTTTGGGCTGTATCTTACTTGACTGGCGGTAGAAATCTCGACACTCCAGTTTTCCCTTGGGAGCCAGCGATTGCTTAGGGGTGTAAACTGTAAGTGACTCCAGTGCCAGGACATGGTGGTACAGTGGCTTTGGAGTCGGGCAGACGTGGGCCCAGTTCATTACTCTGAACCAGTACCCTTGAGCAGTTTATTTTCTCCATCTGAAAAGTGGGACAAAATACCACACCAGGTTGTTGTTTGGTTTAAAAGACAGTTTAGGAGCAGTGGCAGGAGAATTGTTGGGTGCTTACGGGAAATACTAAAATATTAGTTCCTTTTCCTCAAGTGATGTCACCTTTGAACAGGTGGTCTGTAAGCTGACTAGTTTTCTACCATTTTATTAAATTCTATGGAAATTGGAGTGGCATGAGTGATTTTCAGATACTGCATTTTATTTTATTTTATTTTATTTTATTTTTAAATTTTAGAGAGAGAGAGAGTGCAAGTAGGGGAGAGGGCCAGAGGGAAGGAGAGAGAGAGAGAGAGAAAGAAAGAGAAAGAAAATCCTAAGTAGGCTCCACACACAGTGCAGAGCCCGATGCGGGACTCAATCCCATGACCCTGAGATCATGACCTGACCTGAAATCCAAGAGTTGGATGTTCAACCAACTGAGCCACCCAGGGGCCCCATAGATACTGCTTTTTATTTGTCTTTTAAAATGGTTAGTATTTTTATTTTATTTTAATTAATTTATTTTAAGTTCGTGTTTTTTAAATTTTTTAACTTTTACTTATTTTTGAGAGACAGAGCATGAATGGGGGAGAAGCAGAGAGAGAGAGAGAGAGAGAGAGACAGAATCCAAGGCAGGCTCCTGGTTCTGAGCTGTCAGCACACAGCCTGACTTGGGGCCCGAATCTGTAAACTGTGAGATCATGACCTGAGCCGAAGTTGGACGCTTAACTGACTGAGCCACCCAGGCGCCCCATTTTTATTTTAAAAAAATTTTTTTAAGTTTATTTTTGATAGAGCACGAATAGGGGAGGGGCAGAGAGAGGGAGACACAGAATCCAAGGCAGGCTCCAGGCTCTGAGCTGTCAGCACAGAGCCCTGTATGGGGCTCAAACCCACAACCCATGAGATCATGACCTGAGCTGAAGTCCAATGCCCAACCAACTGAGCCACCCAGGCACCCCTGTATTCTTATTTTTTTTTAATATTTATTTTTGAGAGAGAGAGCACATGCAGGGTAGTGGCAGACAGAGGGAGAGAAAGAATCCCAAGCTGGCTCTGAGCTGTCAGCACAGAGCCAGATGCGGGGCTCCATCTCATGAACCATGAGGTCATGACCTGAGCTGATACCAAGAGTCAGATGCTCAACCGACTGAGCCCCCCAGGCGCCCCAAGATACTGCTCTTTAAGGGTGGGCACCAACCTAACACAAGGTCTGTTCGACAGAGCAAAGTAGTGATTTTTAATTAAAGTTCATATTTGTGTAGGATACAGTCCTAAGAAAGAAACGTACGCCGTGGCCACATAGATGTGGTGAGGAGAATTGTCAGAAATCCTTCTAAGTAGCAGGAGCACTTTCTTCAGGCCGCTGGCAGCTGGTGCCTGCTTGGGCGGGTGAAGAATGATGTGAATGAGCCTGCTTGCTTGTGCTGAAGTTCTGTGTTTGGAGCAGAGGTCAGGCTGGTGGAGCGGGGTGTGCTCCGGGCGTTTACACTGTAGTAGCCTGAAATCATGGCTAGAGAAGAAGCTCTTGGCGTTCGACAGCACAACTTGGAAACAACTTGGAAACTTTTTCTGTGTCAAGAGGTTGGTTGGGAGCTCACTTGGACCCTGGAACAGACACTCTACAAAGAGCATCAGAGTCCTCGGAAGGGTCTGAAGTCGGCAAGTCTGAAAAAATTCAAAATCAGTTTGGCTCCCTTCCTGGGTGTGTGTAACTTTTCTGATAATGGCAAGGCAAGTGTACCTCAGAGTTTGGGATGTGTGTTACAGTGGAAGGGGGGGTGATTTTTCCTCCTAAAATGGTACCACAGATAAAAAATGTCGTTTAATGGCTCTGTGTTGTTTTTTTTTTAATTATTAAAATTTTAAAAATGTTTTATTTATTTCTGAGACGGAGAGAGGCAGCGTGAGCAGGGGAGGGTCAGAAAGAAAGGGAGACACAGAATCCAAAGCAGGCTCTAGGCTCTAAGCCAGCCGTCAGCACAGAGCCCGACGCGGGGCCTGAACCCACGAACTGTGAGATCATGACCTGAGCCGAAGTCAGACACTCAACCGACTGAGCCACCCAGGTGCCCCTGATGGCTCTACATTCTTTTTAACACATCTTATGAAACAGATACAGCTAGCATTCAAAGCTGTGATTACACCAATGTTACTATTCATTGTTAAGTTCAGGCCATATTTACTTCATTAAATCTGTGCACTGATTTTCTTTTCTTGTCTGTTTTTTTTTTTTTTTTAAGAAAATGATTAAGTGATTGTGAAGATGAAAGAGGATGTTTAGCAAAAATTGTGATGCCAGCACTAGAGTGACCAAGGTCTGAGAAATAACTGGCAAAAATGTGGATCTGGTCTTTTTTCCCCACAAGCTTAGAGTCCTGTGAGCTTTGGTTGAAAGTTAGGTCTTTAAATTTTTTTTTCTACCAGACCATTAAAATAGGCTTACATTTGTTCTTATATTTTGAAAGATAGTGGTTAAAAATGCCCTAGGGTAAGAGTAAAGCAAGGGGAAGGGATTAAGCTTTTGAGGAAATGCTTTCCCTCTGTCTGGGTGCTCCGACTCGGGTCTGATGTGTGACAGCCCTTGGGACTTGTTCTGGATCACTCCTTTCCCTAACCCCCAAAAAGTCGCCATCACTCAAAATGCTGAAATGACCAGGGGAGCATCCGGTTGTCACTGTTTCTCTGCTGTTCTGGGCACGGCACCCCTGTAGATGATGGCTGTAGATAGAGCCCAAGGTGCTAGGGGCTGTTTGCAAGCGGTGCCCAGAACGCCTCTTGGCTTGTTGAACCCTTACCCTGCCAGACTTGTCTAGACAGAATGGGGAGCTGCGTTCCTAGCCCCTATGGGAGGCAGAGGGACCGAAGGCCTCTCTAAAGTCTCTGACAGTAGGAAGGTTAGAAATGAGAAGGTCAACTCTGTACCAAATTATTTTTTTTAATCTGTTCTGTAGATGTTCCCATTTATGAAAGGTTCATTTTAGTTTTGTCACATTATTGTTATGAAACTGAACATGTTTTTCCTCTCTCTCTGTAGGTACTGGTTTTGGATTAGGACTGGTTTTCTCACTTACTTTCTTTAAAAGTAAGTATGACTTTTGCTGCCTTTTCAACATAATGTCCTGTGTGTGCAGACACATAGCAGGGGTGCCTCGGGAGGGCACATCTGCATGGTTGCCAAGCCATCCATTTATGGGGTGAGGGAGGCCACCGTCAAATACGCTAGACAAAGAATGTGGACTCGAAAGAGGTCAGAATGGGTTGGGCATCTCTAGAATTTCCCCTGGGCAGTGAGTCAGGGGTCCTGATATCTTACATATGATATCATTTGGAAAGCCTGTACTTTATGCCAGTGAGTCATTTGTCCAAATCTGCACGCTCCAATATTTCAAATTAATTATACTTTTTTTCTCAAGGAATTTGAAAATGAGTCTGACTGGTAACAAAAACAAGTGGACCAGAAATACACATGCTTTTTGACCAGAAACCCTTTCATTCTGTGGAAGAACTTTTGAAGTTTGGATGTTGAACAGAAGCCAGAGGGGTCACTTTGACCCCTTTTCCATTAACTTGGGGGCCAGATACATTATACTAGAGAATCATAATTAATACCTAGTGCTGATATAAAAAAGTCATTTACAGTCCTGACTTAAATAGGCCTCACAACTTCCTGTCATCGAAATTCAGTTGGTTCAGTTTAAAATTCAAGCACCTTACGGGAAGGTGGTATTATCGATAAGGTCAAGAAATGAGGTAAAATGAGCAAATGATTAGAACTGATATAGACTGGAACCAATATTACACTCTCTGTAATTTGAATAAAACTTTGGAGAAAAAAGAACTGATACAGAAAAGTTAAAAGGTTCAAGTATGTCTGCCGTGTTCACATGGTACCACTTGTTAAGACCTCAAACCTAGCAGCATAGGTACCAGGTAAATATTTGCTAAATTAATAGGTTTACTAATAGACTTCCTTTCCTGGTTTTGGGCCATTGGTTAAACATTGAGAGAAATTGTATGGCATGTTGTAGATATCAGTAGGAGGCACCCCGAATACTTACTGAACCCTCAGCAATGTATTTAAGCCAAACAAAAAGCTTTATCTTCTCTTAACTGTTCCCTACTGGGATTTTCCTTTTTTCTGCTCACTAGGAAGAATGTGGCCATTAGCCTTCGGTTCAGGCATGGGATTGGGCATGGCCTACTCCAACTGTCAGCATGATTTCCAGGCTCCGTATCTTCTGCACGGAAAATACGTCAAAGTACGTACAGAACCAGTATTTCTCTTTCTTTTAAAAGACAAAGAGTTTCTCCTGAGTCTCTGAAGAATTCTTTAGAGCGCATGCACGTACTAAACCGTGCGTGTCACTGAGCTCCTAATTGGGCTGTAGTGATGCCGACCCTGCTCTGGTGCCTGGAGCTCCCTTCCACTGCCCCGTGAGGAAAGCGCATGTTCACTCACATGTAGACTCTCTCGCTAGCGAGGGGGGCCGAAGACCCTGCTGGAAGTGATCGTCACGGTAAAGCGGATTTGTCTTTGTCTTAACGTGCGAGGCCTCAGAGTGCCCCGGCCACACCTCGCACATGCTCAGGCGGAACCTGGAGGCGGCTGGGACTCAGCCAGGACGCTGCTATTTATTGAGGAGGGGAGGTTCTCAACTCTTAAGTCCCAGTGACTCTGCCAACGACCTTGTCCACAGATGGATTTTTAATAACGCGGCCAAGATGAAAAATTGTAACATGCCTCAAGGGGGAAGAAAGTGGCACATTCCCTAAGGGTCTCGTGTGTAGCGACTTCCCGCTGCCTTGCTGTGCTTACCGTGGGGTGTAGAGGAGAGGATGGCAGGAGGCCGGGTGCTCAGGGACACGGGTGGGAGTTAGCTTTGTGTCTCCAGGGCCCAGAACAAAGTAGACACTGGGACAAAAGTGAAATGAATGGGTGAAGTGCCTTGCACACCCCGTCAGATGTGTGCGTGGCCCCAGGCTTGCCAAGGCCATCTTTACAGCAGCACCAGCTGCAGCCAGGAGCGTCCTGTTGCCTGGATGTGTAGAATCATCTCCTTTCTGGGCCACCGTGCGCTAGAGTCCGTGTGATCTGGGCAGCAGGTGGGGGTGGGGGGTGGGGAGAGCCCAGAATCCTGGAGACCTGACTGTGGGTCCTGGGCCACCCGCCAGTTGCTTCCCGCGTGATTTTGAGTTTTCGCTTTTGAGATTCTGTCTTCCATCCATAAAAAGAAGGTAGTGATTTCTACCTACAGGGCTGCTGTTAGAAGTCAGTGTGAAAATGTTAGTGAGCCGTGAGGTTGCTGTACAAGAAGGAACCTTGGTGGGAACAGTTGAGGCCTGGCCATTGCTCCGCCCCAGTAACAAGTAGAGCAGAAAATGTGCGGTGGAGTGTCCCAGTTGTGGTCAGAGCCGTAGCCACATGGGTCCCCGGATCTCAGATGATCGTACCCACCACAGCTCGGTAGCCTCTGTGTTAGAACCTGCCCAGACTGTTGCCACCTGCCCAGGTGACCGCGTGCGTGTGCTCACCGAGCGAGCCGGGAGCCGTCCAGCCAGAAGCCCGGCCGCCCTGTCTCCGCCCTCCGTGCTCATGAGCTGTCTCCACAAAGCCAGGGCGAGGTAATCCGAGGGACAGCGCAAAGAGAGGCCCAGCTGCGTGGCACCGAGGCTGGCGGCAGGCAGTTTCCACGGCCCCCTGACCCTTCGCTCTCTTGGCACCTGGGCTGGCGCTGGGAGAGGAGGACCGAGAGGAGCAGGAGAGGGGCTGCAGGGCTTAATTGCTTGCACAACTGTCTGTGTTCCCAGCCGAGTGGGCACCGATGGTGGCCCAGCGCTGATTTTACTCATCCTCTGCATTTAATGGTTGGGAATTACTCTGGAAAATACTGTTCCGATTTTTTGGCCTCATGTGGACTGCTCCAGAATGGCCGTGTAACTTTATCCCAACTTGAGTCCGTGCCTCAGTGTTGTCACCCTCCACTCTGAAGAGGGGAGCGCGGCGCGGGGCTCTTCCATTGTCATTTTACGGTGATTGCCCGTTGAGTGTCTGCTGGGTCCACCCTCCTGGTGCCCCGCCCCCTTCTGCGCTTTCTCCCCCCCCCCCCCCCCTCGCCTTCCCAGGAGATGGGTGGGAGAGCTCTTACTACCCCTCACTGAGCAGATGAGAAAACGCAGATCTTACGGAGGTTAAGGGACTCGCCGCAGATCCCATCGTTAGTGGGGCCGCTCGGTGCCAGAGCCACGCAGCGTCTGCTCGCTGGGATGCAGCCTTTGAGGGGTTGTAGGAAGAGTCACGTCCAGGTGCCAACTAGTCCTCTTCTTTCCCACTCCCCTCCTCCAGGGATTAGGGAGCCGCTCTTAAGACTCTGGGGGTGGGGGGGGTTAGGGTCCTCTTGAGAGACTGTTTTCCTATTTTTTAACGTTGGTTTATTTTTGAGAGAGAGTGTGAGCAGGGTGGAGCAGAGAGAGGGAGACACGGCATCCAAGGCAGGCTCCAGGCTCTGAGCTGTCAGCACAGAGCCTGATGTGGGGCTCGAACCCTCAAAACATGAGATCATGACCTGAGCCGAAGTCAGACGCTTAACTGACTGAGCCACCTGGGCTCCCTCTTGTGAGAGCGTTTTAAAGCAAGCCGGGTGTTCAGGTTTGGGGCCCGTTGGTCCCTTGGGTTAGAGACAGTTGTCAAAGTGCTGTGAGCGCGCCTCTAACCAGAGTGTCTTTTCTTTGTAGGAGCAGGAGCAGTGACTTGCACCGGAGAGCACCCCAGTGGGGGGAAAAGAGCGACCCTGTCTACCCCTCGGGGGCCCAGGGGCCCTGGAGGGAGCCCCGCTCTTCTGCAAGTGTTATCAGGGACGCTTTCAGCTCCAGCACCTGTTTCTGTATTTGAAACCGAAGTCTTGTTTCTTGTTTTGTATTTTCTCTCTAGAAACTGCAAGGAGGTGGTCTTAAATAAATGAAACATAGGCAGCCCGGTGCGTTGCCTGCGCGTCTTTGCCTTGGGTCTCTGAGCGGGAGGACTGTAGCCTCAGGCCCCAGCCTCTCAGAGTCTTCCTGAAGCCACAGCCGCCCGCAGCCCTTCCCTCCCCCACCCCTCACCCCCAGCCCCCAGCGCGTGGTTTTTGGGCTCGCTTCTACCTTGTATAACGGGAGCGTGGAGGTGGCCGCGGCGTTGTCTGCTGACGATGACAGACGTCTGGAGGAACCCTGCCCCGCTGCAGCCGCTCCTTAAGATCCGTGTGTTGTCCCCGCCAGGGCACCTCTCAGTGTGTGTGAAGTCAGATAGCTGGAGGCGTGGACGGGTGTGGAAGCGGACCGCGCGGACGGCTCGCTCCATCCAAGTCATGGAGTCCCGGTGCTTTGTGGAGCCGGAGGCAGTCCCGGCTTCAGCTCTGGGGGCTTTGCCCTGGGGAGCCGGGAGAGCTCGTGGCCCGCCCGCCTGGCTGGGGTTGATTTAACTCCGCACAGCAGCTGAAGTTGGGAGGACAGAGGGGCCGCTTCTGATGCCCCTCTGGGAGTTTATTTCTTTGGTTTCACTTGAACCAGCGAGGCTGGATGCAAAAGTAATAACAGTAGCAGTTTCTTCTGAAAACGTTCTGAACCGAGGAGGGAGCTCAGTCTTTCATACCGTCTTTCTCCCTTTACAACAAAATTAAGATGGGCAGAGCTTGATCCCACCTGGTGCTTTATCCTGTGCGTGTTGATGGAGCCTCCTGTGGGAGCTAGGTACTGCTCCAGGCAGCAGAGGTAGAGGAGAAAGTAAGACACAAGCCCCCTGCCCTCGAGGAGCTTAGAGTCTGCTGGAAGCCAGACACGCAGATCCTCGATGTGAAGCAGAGGAGTGCAGAAAAAGTGTGGTGAGAAGCAAGGAGAAGCAGCAGCTAAATCTGTGGGTGGCCCAGCGGGACGGGGAGTACCACGGACTCATACTTGACGTTGACCTGGACGTTCCAGACAGACGAGGAAGGGCGGGAAGGTGGCTTCCGTGAAGGCTGGGAATCCCGCCGAGTGTGGTAGTGGGGGCAGTACAGTGAGGAGGTCCGTAGAGCCGGGGCGTGCAGGGCCCGGAGACGTGTACAGGGTGAGGCTGGCACTGGCCTGGAACTGGTATCTGACCCCCGTTTTGAAGCATCGATCAGACAGTTCGTACAAGTGTTGTAATGAGTTGATTCAGGGTAGAAATCCTCTCTCATTTATCCCTCCTTTCATCCTTCACCCTATGCCCCGTTTCCAGAAAGGTGTGCTAAGCTCTGGGCCAGAGCAGGCAGCAGCAGCTCTCTGCCCTGCAAACTGTCCAGACTCCTCTCCTCTCTGAGCTTTTTATTTGATTCACTTAAAGCCCCAAGTGGGCCTGAGCCCAGGACCCAGAGCCATGGCCATGGCTTGCGCTGGCCTAGCCATTTTGCTGTTTTATACTCTGCCCCCTTTATTCCATGATCAAGAACATGCATGCCATTAAAAAAAACTTTGCAACCTGTTTCATCCCTTACGTTTGTCTTCTCCCTTTTTGCTTTAAAAGTTAATATTTCCCTCCAATTTTTCCATCTTTATTCAGGCAGAGAGGAGAATAACAGGTCCCTTCCCAAAAAAAGAAAAAAACAAAAAACAAAACACAACCTCCCCACCAATTCTCTAGATAGGGCAGAATATGGAGCAGAAATGGACAGTGGCAGCAGGCTCCCCTATCTCGTTAGCTGTTGGCTTGGACATTATATTTGGAGGATCCCTTTGCCCAGCATCCCTGAAACGCCGCTGATGTGTTTGAGAAGCCGGTGAGCTCTGGGAGGGAATGATTCTGGGCAAAGACTGGCCAAAGGAAGCATTGGCTGTTTGCTTTCATTCCAGAGTACTTTGTATTCCTGCCTTGGAGCCCTTCGTGGAGACTGGCCCAAAGCACAGTGCTCCATCTTGTCCCCACTCCCTGCCCCCATCGCAGATCAGCCTTCAGAAAGTTCCAGCTGGTTGGCAAAGGCACACATTCTGTTCTACTTTAAGTTTCATTAGAAATTCAAGTCCTCTGGGGGCTCTCTTCCCTTGTGGGGCTGTGAAACTTTGACTCTGCTTCTTGTCTGCCCTTCTGGAACCAAATAGAAGGAAATTCATGGGTTTGGGGAGAGAGCGATGGGAACCCAGCTGGGCACAGGATACTAGGATAAAGCTGTGGCGCCCCGAAAGTGGCCTGCTCTGCCAACATATATAAATTCATACAGCCTGAGCTTGACACTGTATAATTTGGCCCAGGACAATATGTATTTTGAACTCATTTAGGTGAATGACTTTGGCATTCCAAGTACCCACTGAGGGGGCCTTTATCAGGCCGCATTTGCCTTATTGCAGAAGTTTATTCCGAGAAGTGGCCTCAGCACACACTCCAGGGTGTCATCCTCTCTCGTCCATTTCAAAAGCTCCAACAACGCAGTCTTGAAGTCCTGCTTATATGCAGAGATCGGCAATGAAGGAGCCATCTATGTAGATTTGCTTTTAGTTTTCCCAAACCTCACTGTTTACATTTTTTTTTTTTTATGTAACCAAGCCATAATTACATTTTACTTGTCGTGGTTCAGTCTGATTGTATTGTTGAAGGACTATTTTTGAACCTGTCCAAATAAACTCTGCAAAGAATTTCCACAAGGATGTGCTCCATGGGGCCGGAACAGCCTTCATCGCGAGTGGTGCGGAGACAAAAACGGGTTCCTATTGCACGTTTTCTAATTACATAAATGCAAAGGCGTGGAAGGGAGAAAGTGGAAATTCTAAGTACCAAGAGGAATGTTCAGTTGAGAGTAACAAGCTCATCTGGAAGTGATCACTTTTTTCTTTCAGTGTGCCACACGCTCTGCCTCCCCTCAGACCCCGAAGGATGGGGTCAGGGTGAGCCCAGACCCGGGGAGGAGCAGGGCAGAGGTTCCCTGGTTCCCTGAGCAGCCTCCCGAGTGCCGGGCAAGCATGAGGGTCAATGATCCCTGTTCCAGCTAGAAAGTGCCTCGAAGGAAGAGGGCAGATGGGGAGCAGGGGAGAGGCAGGGACTGTGCGAGAAAGAGCACGGGATTTGGAGTCAGAGAAGCTGGGTCCCAGTTCCCACTCCTCCCTCCACCTACTTGCCTTGCCGTGTGACTCCCTGATCTGTAAAGGGAGGAAAAGAAAAAAAAAAAAAAGAATTCCTTCCTCCCTTCCAGGCTTTGAGGGTTAAATACATGTGCTCACACAAGTATTAAAAAGAGGTTGTTGCTGAATCAGAATGGAGTACAGGGTGTCATTGATGGTGGGCGAGAGATTATTCCAGAGTAGAAAAGGCATAATCCTTGGGCTCAAGGAGTCACTTCTTAGAGGCTATATTAGCAAGATCTGAGAGAGAGAGACCGAAGTCTCAGATGAGCTTCTTGTAATAAAACAAACTAGAAGTTGTTAGGAAGTGCTGCGTCCGCACGAGTGTTAATATTCACTGTGCTCCATTGAGATACACATAAGTGCAGCCACCGCGGCACCTCCCCTTGGGAAACTACCTGAGCTAAAACTCACACGGGACGCTAGGAGGGGAAGGGGGACAGGGGACACAGGAAATAGAATGGGGCCTTCCGGTACGGTAGGAAACAGCTCTGTCCGTGAACATTTTGTTCAGATAGCTGACTTCAATTGTGCCCTGCTCACATAGGAGCTCAGAGCTAGGAGCTGTAAGTGGGGGAAGGTGAGGGAAAGAATTCTTGGAGGAATTCAGGAGTGGGCAGGAGAGGAGTCTTTAATAGGGAAGAAACTGGGGCTAGAAAAAGGAGCTCATTATCAACGCCCAGCCAAGTCATCTCTCCCTCTTCCTGGTCCAGCCAGTCTGAGCCAGGCAGAACTTAATCCGATCACCTCTAGTGAATATGTAATAATAGTGTTTATGGGGCACATACGTGGTGCCAGATACTGTTCTAAGGCTTCACATATGATGCTTTTTATATTACTCTCTCTGAGAGAAGTACTATTATCATTTATAGATGAAGAAACAGATTCTAAAAGGAGAATTTAACTTGCCCAAGGACAAACAGCCACAAAGTGATACAGGCAGGATTTGTATCTGATTCTAGCTCTTAACTACTCAGTTGAACAATCTTTAAACCAGGAAGGGTCATTCAGAGGGGTTACGGTGTTTAAATCTTAAACTAGTTGAAATCAATCAGTTTCACTGGGTTTAAATTGAAAAGGACAAGTTGATCCAATTTCAAATCGCTGTGTTTGTTTAAAAAACAATTCCTGTGTTTATCAAACAGAAACACAATGGTCAGTCAGAATTTCAGGCCAGTGTTACAGATGAGTTTTGTTAAATCCTTGCATATGTAATAAAGCATCATGACTTTTGATTGACCTGTGTATCTTTAAGATTAAGCACTTTTCTGTGTGTGTGTGTGTGTGTGTGTGTGTGTGAAGTTTATTAGAGAGTCAGGAGAGGGTAGAGAGAATGGGAAAGAGAGAATCCCAAGCAGGCTCTGCACTGTCAGTGTGGAGTCCAGTGCAGGACTCAAACTCACAAACCATGAGATCACAACCTGAACCAAAATCAAAGAGTTTGGGAGTGCCTGGTTGGTTCAGTTGGTTAAGCATCCAACTTCCGCTCAGGTCATGGTCTCACGGTTCACTGAGTTCGAACCCTGAGTTAGGTTCTGTGCTGGAGAGCCTAAAGCCTGCTTTGGATTCTGTGTCTCCTTTTCTCTCTCAAAAATAAGTAAACATTTAAAAAAGAAAAAAGAAATCAAGAGTTAGCTGCTTAACCCACTGAGCCACTCAGGTGCCCCAGGGTTTTTTTTTGTTTTTTGTTTTTTTTTTTAACATAATTTACAAACAGTAAAACGCGCCCATCACCTGGTAGAAAACGAAAACCCTTTTTATAATGTATATACTGGTGATATTTTCTACCTTTATATTTTAAGAGGCTAAATATTTTTGTAACTTGATTTGATATCAATCCACATGTACAGAAAGCTGTGACAATAGGGACT